ACAATAGACACTAATTAGATCCAGAAGAGTGTCAGAAATGAACTGAGTCCTCCCAGGAGGATTTTTGAAATTTCATTTACTATGGCAAGCAATGAAGTTCCAATTGTCAGCAACTACTTTAGAGTATTTAGCAATGTGGAGGCGTTAATGCAGGATCTAAAATTGTCTGACATTATTTCAGGATTACCTTCTTGAATTATATATTCAAAAAGCACACAAAAGTTTTGAGAGTAAAAAGAAATGTGTTGTATATGCATTCACAGGCAAAGATCTATTTTAACTTCACCTGGTTTTCCCTTCTGTACAGAATTAAATCTAATGATTAATCATCATTACTTTAGCATCATCTCTGATCTCTTAGTGAACAGGATTTTAAAGTGATGTATGAGTTACATAAATGTGAACCATGTTTTAATCAATTTGAGATTTCTTTTTTTTTTCTTTTAACCTTGAAAGAATTCCAGGAAAATTTGATATTAAATTACTCATAACAATAAAAATGAAATTCAGAGCCAACTACTTTACAGCTTTTAATATTCATACCGTGTAGAGTTTCTTTAGTCATTACAGTGTGATTTAATTTTTAAAGCAAGAGCCTGGGAAGCAGGTTGCAAAGCAGGAAACTGCCATTCATTAAAAAATTCACTCTAAACTTCTTCTGAACTGATTTATAAGTACCTATAGGAATTTACCAAATTTCTGTTGGTAAATAATTTTCAAATTTGTATACGATGGATTATTCTAAAAAAGTGATTGTTGGCTTCAAACTTCTTTTACAATCAGGGCTAAAAAGGTTAAATTTATACAGTAAATGAATATGAAGTGGATTCATAGTGTTTTGTTAATGTGTTTACTGATTTTTATGAAAATTTGGGATTAAAATAATTAACTTAAAGACATCTGCCTTTAATGTTTATAATCCATTTAAGAACTTTTATTTAGAGAATTTAAACTCCCAATTGGCTTTAAATTTAGAATCGTTATGTTTCTATACATTGTGAATAATTTATTAATTATGATTTTTTTCTTGATCACGTTTACACATCCCATTTGTATTTTGTACATAGCTAGAGTTACTTGCTTGCCTCTGGATCCCTAAGAAAGATAAGAGCAAAAATGTACAATACATTATGGTATTTTATAAAGAAATTAAAAATGAACCTGAAAAATCACTCTTTAGTTCAATTCAGTTCAGTTCAGTCACTCAGTCGTGTCCTACTCTTTGCGACCCCATGGACTCCAGCACGCCAGGCTTCCCTGTCCATCACCAACTCCTGGAGTTTACCCAAACTAATGTCCATTGAGTCGGTGATGCCATCCAACCATCTCATCCTCTGTCATCCCCTTCTCCTTCTGCCTCAATCTTTCCCAGCATCAGGGTCTTTTCCAATGAGTCAGTTCTTCATATTAGTCGGCCAAAATATTGGAGTTTCAGCTTCAGCATCAGTCCTTCCAATGAATATTCAGGACTGATTTCCTTTAGGATGGACTGGTTGGATCTCCTTGCAGTCCAAGGGACTCTCAAGAATCTTCTCCAACACTTCAGTTCAAAAGCATCAATTCTTCGGTACTCAGCTTTCTTTATCATCCAACTCTAACATCCATGCATGACTCCTGGAAAAACCATAGCTTTAACTAGACCTTTGTCAGCAAAGTAATGTCTCTGATTTTTAATATGCTACCTAGGTTGGTTGTAGCTTTTCTTCCAAGGAGTAAGTGTCTTTTAATTTCATGGCTGCAGTCACCATCTGCCGTGATTTTGGAGCCCAAGAAAATAAAGTCTCTCACTGTATCCATTGTTTCCCCATCTATTTGCTATGAAATGATGAGACTAGATGCCATGATATTCGTTTTTTGAATGTTGTTTTAAGCCAGCTTTTTCACTCTCTTCTTTCACTTTCATCAAGAAGCTCTTTAGTTCTTTGCTTTCTGCCATAAGTGTGCTGTCATCTGCATGTCTTAGGTTATTGATATTTCTCCTGGCACCTGGATTGCAGCTTGTGCTTCATCCAGCCCAGCATTTCGCATGATATACTCTGCATATAATTTAACTAAGCAGGGTGACAATATACAGCCTTGAATACTCCTTTCCCAATTTGGAGCCAGTCTGTTGTTCTGTGTCCAGTTGTAACTGTTGCTTCTTGACCTGCATACAGATTCCTCAGGAGGCAGGTCAGGTGGTCTGATATTCCCATCTCTTGAAGAATTTTCCACAGTTTGTTGTGATCTACACTGTCAAAGGTTTAGCATGGTCAAGAGGGCAGAAGTAGATGTTCTTCTGGAACTCTTTTGCTTTTTTGATCATCCAACAGATGTTGACAATTTGATCCCTGATTCCTCTGCCTTTTCTAAATCCAGCTTGAACATCTGGAAGTTCTTGGTTCACATACTGTTGAAGCCTGGCTTGGAGAATTTTGAGCATGACTTTCCTAGCCTGTGAGATGAGTGTACCTGCGGTAGTTTGAGTGTTCTTTGGCACTGCCTTTCTCTGAGCACTCTTGCCTTTCCCCATATATAATTAGGTGATCTGTTTCTTCATCCAGCTTCAGTTTTTTTCATACTTTCGAGATGTCACTCCTGTCTTTTAGTTTGCAATGTTTCAGATGTGAAAGCTGCTGCAATCATAATCTTTGCTCCTCTATACATAACATCTTCTTTTCTGACTGCTTTTAAGATTTTCTCTTCATTCTTAGTATTGGTTTCTTCATTTTTCCAGAGAAGTTGAATCTTACATTTAGATACATTATATTTCTTTACTGCATGTTTTTTTTTTTTTCCCTGCAAGTTTTTGATCTTCACTTATTCCTTGAGGATAACAATCATGTCTGTTAGCTTCTAGGTGAAAAGTAATTCTTGGGAGGATACAGAAATATTTGATCTTTATTGTATTACTTTGCATCTTGAATAATGTCTGACACTGGTGGTCAGTAAATAATTTCTGACTAAATGAATAAATTAATTGTAGAAAATGAAGTTATTTTTAATCATAACTTAAATAATAGTAATATCTTTCAGAGCATAGAAAATAAACCATCTTATATGGTTACTATGCATGGCGTAATTATCATGGCATTCTAATTCTTACTGTACTCTCTACCTATCTTGTATTAATAGTGTGTATCATGAGAAGACGAGTAAAGTGTGAGGTGAATAACAGAGTGATGCTACTGTGTCATCATCTAAGTCTACAAAACAGTGCTTAACAATAATAGTTTATAATTGAGTTAACTATTTTTATTTTCCTTTGAGAGTAGAAATGCAAGGACATAAACAGCAGTAATTTCACTGTAAAAATGACTTTATGATAAAGATTAATCTCTCTGTTGTGCTTTAATTGCTATGTAGATTTATGGAGAGTGCTATGGACTGAATCCTTGTGTTCCCTCCAAATTAATATGTCGAAGCCCTTACCCCCAAAGAAAGGGTATCTAGAGATGGAGTCTTTAGGATCTAATTGGGTAGAAGGTACTTATTAAAACCTGACCATGCTGGCACCTAAAGTATGACTCTCAAAATTCTAGCCTCTACAGCTGTGAGAAATAAATTTCTGTTGTTGAGGCCACCCAGTCTAAGGTATTTTGTTATGGCAACCTGACCAGACCAAGAGAAAAAAAATTTGTTACTGAGAACAAATACCTAAAACTGTGGAAGTAGCTTTGGAACTAGATAATGGGGAGACGCTTGAAGAGTTCTGAAGTGTATGCTAGAAGGAACCAAGAGTATTTTGAAGGGACTGCTAAAGACAGTTCAGGTCAGAGGTCAGAAAGAAAAAAAGAGAGCTGGAGGGAAAGTCTCCATCTTCTTAGAGAATCCACAGATAATCATGAGCAGAATGTTAGTAGAAATACAAACGTTCAAGCCCATTCTTTTAAGGTCTAGGGGAAAAAATACAACATGTTTTTGAACAATGGTGAAAAGGTGATCATTGTTAAAAAAAAAAAAGGCAAAAAAACAAAAAACAAAAAAAACTTGACTGAATTGTATTTTTATTCTAATCTTTTGTGGAGGATAAAACTAGGAATCAACAAAATTGGATATTTAACTGGAGGGGATTTCTAAGCAAAATGTTAAAGGGGGAGCTTGGTTCTTTTTAAATAATTATAGTAAAATGTAAGAAAGAAAGAAAGTTGTTATGCACAAATTAATCAACACGTAAAAGTTTGGAAAATTCTCAGTCAATTCATGTGGCAGAGAATAACCAGGTTATGGAGAAACTGTCCTTTCATAAGATTAATGTCTGTGTGATTCACAGACCTAATCAGTTACTCTAACAGAAACACTGCTGGTTTCAGCTGAAGGAAATGTTGATGCGATGAAATGATGAAAATATTTTGGATTTCTTAAATCCCACAGGATAGGACCATACATCTATTTGGCTGTGAATGCACACTGTTCTTCAAGTCTAGGGGTGCATCATCCAGATGATGATTCAGGGATCATCAAGGCTCCCTCTGTGGTTTCAGGGACGAGGAGTGGGAAATGCCCTATTGCCTTGGTTTCAAAAAATAGGCAGCAGCTGCCTGGAGAATGGGGCAAAGAGTTGCCCAGCATAGCATAATGGAGGGGAGAGGGGCATGATATCCACTTGTCATAAGCAGATGACTCCTGTTTATCCACCACTGCTGTTAATGATAATCCAAAACATTACCATACTTTTTACTGACAAGTTCAGGGAAAAGTTAACCTTCTTTCTTCTTAAATTTGCAAGTAAATATAATTAATGAAAGATGTAAAAGAAAAAAGACAAGAAAATTAAGGAACTTTGGAGAAATTTTATTTTATATATTATTCTTGTCTGCTGCGCCACTCATAATATTGAGTAGTGTTTATCTTATGTGTTTTCTTATTATGTTTATTCTTACCCATTGTCCTTCAGGATATTTCAGAATATTGTTTATAAACACCTAAAAAATTTAAAAAGACCTTGTAATTAAAATAGTTTGCATAAAAGGGGTGGTTCAACATTCCTTTATTTAAGCTTTGCTATTTTATGTTTTTATAGGATATAAAGTGTGATTGAACTGAACATCAATTTGGTTGAGCTTCATCATGAACCGTGCTTTTAGCAGAAAGAAAGGTAAGTGTACCCATTTATAGAACTTGGGAGTCAATTCAATATTATTGGGAAAATCAAACAGAGATGTTAAGAAATCACTTTTTCTGATTATCAAACCATGTGACTTCAGAATGAAGTTAGAGTAGAACAGAAACCTGCAGACATTGCTAATTAACCTTCTTTGGTTATCAGCCTAATGAAAGAGTGGAGCTGTTTAATATATTTAGTCCAGAAAACATGACAATATGTTCTCTGGAAATTTTAATCTGTGATGTGAAATTGCAAAAAATAATGATCTGACGTAAAAAGTTAGTCCTAACTTCACTTTTCATAGCGTAATGCTAAATTTCCTGAGCTTACATAGGTGATAGTGATTTAAATTAACTTATGCGTAGGTGTATGTTTGCATGTACACTTCACTTATTATTGAAAACTGTATAGGATTGACAATAAGTGAATTGATAGCAATGAGACCAAAATAAATTTGTTATTAATTTTAAAGTAGAAATTTAAAACAGGTATAAATATATCATAATTATCAGTACAGGAATGAAAGAAACAGCTGTTGTTGTGTTAGTCGCTCAGTCGTGCCTGACTCTCTGCGACCCCATGAACTGCAGCCCACCAGGCTCCTCTGTCCATGAGATTTTCCAGGCAAGGATACTGGAATGGGTTGCCATTTCCTTCTCCATGTTATTTCTTAAAGTGCAGGAAAACATGGCATCTGACAAAATATTTCATGATACATTTATAGGAAAGAAAAATTTGATAGTTTTGTATAGTTCAGTAGAGTTAGAAAATTTATCTTGCCATTCTAGAAGGAGTTCTTTGGTGGTGGGCACTGGGCTCTTTCCTGTTTAACATACTATAAATGAAGTGGGAGAGAATACTTAAATAATGCTACTCAAGTTCTTAGGGGACTGAAAGTGGGAAGAGATAACAGATGTGGTAGGATTGTAGGTATGTGGGGGGAAAATGATGAGTTAATTCATAATCTACACTATAAAGTTAATAAGATAATGTTAATTGCCAAACATGGGTTCAGAAAATACAACACTTCTGTACTTATTTCTATATTGTTATTATTTAGAAAATGCAGTTAATTGCTGTGTAGGTAAAACATGGCTAAACTTTGCTGTGTAGGTAAAATATGTAGGTAAAACATGCATAGGTGAAAAATAAAGTCAAGATTCCAGTTCATTTTCTAATGAATGAATAATGAACTATCTTGAACCAGGAAATAGATTATTCCATTCTACTCCATGTCCTCAGGCAGTATGTTCTTGCATTAAGGGCTTGACACGTTATAACATGCATGGTTGAAAAAGGCTAGGATGACTTCAATGATGATTACAAGTGGAAGCATGACTGAGAACCCATGGTATGGTCTTGCAATGTTTGAAGACCTTTTAATGTTTTAATTCTGTCATTGGGTTATGGAACAAAGTTTAATAAAGATTGGTGTAAATCATAATGTCATAGATTAAACATAGGAAAAAAAATTCCAACAAAATTTTGCCAAAATATAATGGAATTATTCAAAGTATTTTCATTTTCTTTTCTGAAATGAGAGGTGTTCAAACATTTGGGTATGGTTCAGAGGATTAATATATTCAGTAGAGATTAGGTAATGTGAAGAACTTTCAGGCACTTTTCAACCCTAGGAAACTAAGAATTTATTATTTTACTTATTCTTCAGAATAAGGGTAATGCAAATGACATTTATTGTGTTTTGTAGCTTTCTTCTGATTTAAAACATATACCAAAAATAAATTCACATTTCTTTTTATTCCCTTTACCTAGTAAAAATTCTGGAAATAATTCTCTGAAATATGGAAGTATTTTTAATAAATTAATAAAAAACCTCACATCACAACTTATCACTTTAAACATGCTATCATATTTTTTAAAGATATTTCTAGAGCTTTGATTTTTTTCTAATTTACTCTTTATCTGAAGGTAATTTGGAGTGATTTTAGTTGAGAAATCCCAAGAGTTGTATAGTAAGACGAGTAAACAGTGATTGTATATTTGTCTTACTTGAAGACAGTAGGAGTACAACTCTAAGGAAAATTATTGATAGAGGATAAAGAAGCAGAAGCACTTGTTATTTCCTGTTTTGCTTCATTTTCTTTAAATTTCTTTTGACTCCTCTTATTTTGCGAGTCTAATGGTTAAATATCCTTATCAGTAAATTATTGATCAGTATTTCACTCGAATTCAGTTGGAACTCGGTGCAGAAATTCTACCTTAAGTTCACCAGTCACTTCAAATGCTTTCATTTAATATGGTTGTTAAAGAAAACTTCTTGGAGCCTGTGCTCCAATTTCAACCAATAGCACTATCTGTTGAATTTTAATTTGAGATGCAAAACTGGAATTTTATGAGCGAATTCATACATCTTGACCATTGGGAACTGTAATTATAGTTCTAGAAAACATGTAAGTCAAGTCATCTTTCCAATAACTAGTATCAACATATACTTCACTGTACTCTAAACAAAGAAAGATTGTCTTCTATCATTAAAAACTTATTTCATGTATCCAATTTTCTCAGTTATTACATGCAAACTTACTAAGTCGTCTTGGCTCTCAGAAACCCAAGGAAAAGAGATTGTTATCTTAAACTTAAACATAATTTTCTTTTCTTTTTATTAAATCTCCCAATTAGTAATTTGTTTGGTATTCTTTGAATTGGCCAGGCATTTCACTGATTCTCTTTTCAAATGCTTTAATGGTTATTAGAATGGGTTTCCCAGGTGGCATTAGTAGTAAAGAACCAGCCCCCCAAAGCACGAGACTTTAGAGACATAGCTTCAGTCCCTGGGTCAGTGGGTTCGATCCCTCAGTTGGGAAGATCCCCTGGAGGAGGGCATGGTAACCCACTCCAGTATTCTTCCCTGGAGAATTCCATGGACAGAGGAGCCTGGCAGGCTACAGTCCACAGAGTCTGAAGGAATCGGACACAATTGAAGCGACTTAGCATGCACACAGGCAGAAGTGCTCGTAGGTTCTGAAAAAATCTGAATATACTAGAATTGCATCATTTTGGACTATTTTGAAGATCTCTGTAAAAATTATCTAACCTCATAATCATAGATTACATTTTAATGAATGTTTTATATCTTCTTTCCCTATGTTAGCTTACTTTTGTGAATTTTTAAAATCCTATGTTCTATTTATGTCAAAAATAATTTAATTTAAAAAACGTAAAACATAGCACATGAATGAATGTGATTAAATAATTCAACTAGTTATACTTTGTGTTCTTTAACATATGAGTTGATACACTGATGAGTAGGTGTAATTGTAGTACAAAGCACTTGAAATTTCAATAATATTTAAATATAATTCAGTAATTTTCTTTTCATGAAAAATTGTATTCAGATATATCCATTCATCCATCAATACTTAGTTTTAAATTTAATATATTAAAAATAGGTGCTTTCTCTTTGTTAAGCTCTTATGATAATGAGAACAATGATGTTTCTTGAACCTTTCTAGATGAGCTCTAAATCTAAATACATTTTGAACACCAGATTCATTGGTCCAGTAGTCAAAGTGGTTTGCTACTGCTGCTAAGTCGCTTCAGTCATGTCTGACTCTGTGTGACCCCATAGACAGCAGCCCACCAGACTCCTTCATCCCTGGGATTCTCCAGGCAAGAATACTGGAGTGGGTTGCCATTTCCTTCTGCAAAAGTGGTTTGACACCTGTCAAATATTTTGAAATGCTGACATTTACTTTTATGTGAATGCTCACTATTAAGTTAGAGATTATATTTTATAATTTTAAGAAAGGAACACATTCTAGTGTCTATATTCCTGTTTTTTCACCAATTCTCTGTATCTAATATCTTCTTTGGGTCCATAAAATGATCAAAGACCATCATCTATACCCTCTCTACAAGGTCAGCCACATCTATTTAAGTTAGAGTGTAGGTTTGTTCTGTTTTTTTTTTTTTTTGCCAAAGTATAAATTAGAATGACATTAACGACTCAGTTTTGGAAATCCTTCAGGTTTAGTAAGTGCACTACCTATACAAGAGGTATGAAATGAACACCCATTAAATTGTCTGCACTTGGTGTGTGGGTGTAGATCTTTTGTCATTGTAGCAACTGCAGCTTATCCAGTGGTAATTTAATATTGTGATTATTTCAGTCTGTCACCAGTAACAATTGGATATACCCACCCTCTTTTTAGGTTACTGCAGTATGCGACTATAACAAAGGCAGTATCATCAGTTTTCAAATAATAGTGTCTTATAGGAAAAAGCAATTATCTCTCTGCCTCAGGATTGGAATGAACCATCATATTCAAAGTTTTGTTAGACTTTACATCCTCCTGAGCTATGTTTAGTGTCTTGGAAAAAGAGACATGAAAGTAATTGTGTTAAGGGGTAAAAAAGGAAATTAGATATGTTTTTAGGTTTCCTGAAGGCAAGTCTTTGGTGTTTTTATTGCTTTGGTGTACACTATCGTGATTATTTATTTTAATATGCAAGTGCAAGACTATTTTCCACATCTAAGTATAAGTTATTCTTGAATTAGTCATATCACTATTCAGTACCGATCATAAAATCCTAAAATCATAAAATTGTTGAAATGAAAATCCATACAAGAAATAGTTTTATACATCAGTGTCTGTATATTAATGCTTCTTTTTGAAGCCTGGGATGTATTGCTTCTCAGGATATTTCACCCAAGTGCGGTTGTCACGTATCCACTTCAGCAGTCAGAAACAGCCCTAAATTGCACCATGAGCACAGGATTTTATAGATCCCTCATGGTCTTGTCTTCAAATTTTTTTTGAATATTGCATTGTAACCCATAAACATGTTTCATATATAATGCAGTATCCTTTAAATGGTTTAAAATAATTAAAATTCCAGAAATGTATGCCATTTTCTCTGTCTTCACATTCCCCCAGTTTGATAACATATTAATGGTATTGAACTTGTTTCTGTTACCATCCTTTTTAAATGTTCCTAGTTGAATGCTAAAAATACTTTGTTAGTAACCTGATTTTTATTTTAGTATATACTTATGTATATTTTTCATGGTAAAAATATGTCTTTAATTTTATTCTATTTATAGTACTGATTCTAAATTTTTGAATTCCCATAAGGAGTAAAATACTCACAAAAATCAACTTAAGAAGAAAATATATTTGAAGATTGAGAAGTTTTACTACAGACAATTGCAGTTTGTTAAAAAAAAAAAAAAGAAACAAATTTGATTTGTGTAAACATTAACCCATTTTGCTTTTTTCCTGCTTATATGTTCCACAAAATGTTTTGGAAGATATGTGGAATATATAAATCAAATTCAAAAATTGAAAGAAAAGTTTATTTTCTATTATTGTTAATAATGTATAATACAAATTACTTTCAATATCTTCTATTCTTTTAGTTACTTTTATTTCTACTATTCTACGATGCTCAATTGCCCAGTTGTGTTCAATTCTTTGTAACCCATTGATAACACCCTGCCAGTCTCCTCTGTCCATGGAATTTTTCGAACAAGAATACTAGAGTGGTTGTCAGTTCCTCCTTCAGGGGGATCTTCCCCCTCCAGGGATCAAACCCGTGTCTCCTGCATTGGCAAGGTGGATTCTTTACTGCTGTGCCACCTGGGAAGCTTCATTATTCTACTGCATTAATTTGAATCATGTAATGATTTCAAATTACTGCATTTAAGATTATTTATATCTGAAACATCTGATAGTTGACACTCAGTCAATGTTTCTTTAAATCGAGACTGAAAAACTATCCTAATATTAATTTTTAAGTGAATTTAGTAGATTGATTTATTTCAGTTTTGTATAAATGTAGTTGTTAGTCTAATGTTAAAATGTCCCCTTACAAATTGTCAATTTTTGATACTAAAGAATAATAGTCATAGTAAAGAGCAGATTGCTATTTATTGTAAAAGTAATTAGCAAAAATAACCTGTAATTCATGAGACTATCAAATGAAAGAAAGAAAAACAGTTATTCACATGATTGATATAATTACTCATAGCCCAACTGGTTTTTAAAAATGTATTCTTGAAAAAATTCAGAATTGTTTTATTATTTGAAAATTTATAAAAGGAAAAGATTTTTAAGTTAAGGAGAGAATCTTATAATTACTTTGTGGTTATATTGTTATTAAATTGACTAGCTATTCTTTTTCACTTTAGCAAAACTGTCTTAGAATTAGGAGTGTACCCACCTGTATCAGACTCTATAAATGCTAATGCATGAATATGACATCCTTAGAACCCATGTTTTAATTTAACATTGTGTATTCTTCGTTGCAGACAAAACATGGATGCATACTCCTGAGGCTTTATCAAAACATTACATTCCCTATAATGCAAAGGTAAAATAGTTCATATGGTATTACTGAATATTATTTTGGTATAGTATTATTGCTAGTTTATGACTGATCTTAGAAAGATTGTTTATGCTTTGTTATTTCTTAGTAGATAATCCCTGAAAAATCTTTGCATAAATAAAGTAATTTTTTAGCATATAAGGGAAGTTGTTTTACTTCCTAAATAAGTATTCTTTTTATAATTTCTGTTTAAGTCATGAATGTATTTTCTTCAAATGACTTTGGCTGTTGTTAAAATTATTTGCAGTATTATGGCCTTAAGAAACAAAACAACAAATAAATTAGTTTCCTTTAAAAATACTTAATGTTTCATTACACAGACAAATATAAAACTAGTCTGGAAATGAGCTTCAATGTTAATGAATGCAATTATAACACACAAAAAAGGGAGACAAACAAAGCTTAAACTATTAAGAAAACACAGGAAAAGTGCATATTTTGTATGAATCTTTTGTTCAAGTCCTGCATTTTAATAGAGAAATAGAAACAATCCATACTTCATGTCTTCAAAGATTTGATTCACTGTTGTTGTTGGAAGACTGTCCAAATGAATGAATGCCATTTACAGAAGGGTCTTTAAAGAAAGGTGTTATTTTATAATTAATGAACACTAAACACAGAGTAGATTTCAGAGAAGTCTGTTTAAATTTGGAAGAGACAGAAGTGAATTTTAAAGAGTTGTATTTGGGAATAAGAGAGTGGGCCAGACTTAAGCAACTTCAGAAATGGCAGGGGGGGAAATAGAAAATGGTAAGATTATTTTTATGAACAGTGAACAGTGGGTTAGTGTGATATAAAGAGATTAGTTATGAAGAATTATCTCAGGAAAAGATTTTCTAAAAAATTATTGAATGGAGAGCTCTATGGAAAACCTCTAGAGCACTGGTCTGAGTCTGAATCAGCAGGAAGCAGCATTTAAAAGGCCATCTAGAAGAAATTCTTCTAGAGGGTTGCTCAGCAGTGAGCTTTCTAGCGTGCAGCAACTATATGTTTTCTGCCTGACTGTGCAGCAAAGAGAATGCTCAAAAATGCTTTCTCTGTAAAATTAACATATTGGAAATCACTACGATGCTCATGAATTCCCCTGTAAAGATAACATGAGGAGTGATTGCCATGAATTAGCATAAAAAGTTTAGTTAATAGCTTAAGAGAAAAAAAAAAGTTAATATTACACATCTCTTCCACAGATATTCCTCATGTTAGCTATTGATACACTGCATGAAATCCTCATAGAAAAAAATTTAATGAAGAAAACCACTATAACTTTAAAGCCCATGCCCAGTTTTTTCTGTTATCAATCATAATATAATTATATCCTTCATGTGAAACCACCAGACATTATTCACTTTTAAAAACGATTGAAGTACCTCATTTTAAAAACTTGTTTATAAAGGATTGAAAAAAGTTTACTGTAATTAGAACTATCGTTAACTCTTTGAATGAGTGTGACAGTGGCCATCCACTTGTCTCCATGGCTACGTTGCCGTTGCTGGTTCACGGGCCCATGATGACTGTAAGACACCCGGCGCAGAGCAGAGGGCCCGGCAGCATCGGCCACACTGGGGTCAGTCAAACGTGGAGGAGCAGGTTGCTTCCATTCCTTCTCATGTGGTCTCCTGAGTGAGATCCTGTGGCCCCAGTAGCATTAAAAATATTTGAAGAACATTCTTTTTTTCTGAATTCCCTTCTTTGTGGCACTTTAAAGACTGATTGTTTAGTGGTGTTTTTGAAATTTTTCTCTGTCTCTTCTTAGAGTATATGTCACTTGCAAAGCAAATCCATGTCCACAGAAAATATCTTGGGGCAACAGAAGTAAAAAACAGAATCTATAACCAGATTGCCTTGGTTTAATCTTGACTCCAACACTGACTAGCTCTGTAGTTTGGGGCATATTATCTAACCTTAGTCTATGGTTATTAATCTGTAAATAGGGATAAGAGTAATTTCTCAATTAGGATTGTTATAGATATAAAGTTGTTACATGAAGTCTTAAAACAGTATCTGGAAAAAAATAACTACTACTCGTAAGTGTTAGCAATCATTAATTTATCTTTTGTAATTTTTCACTGGCTTTACCAAAGTTCCTGTCTCACTCTAGTTGTTCAATATGCATGTATTTTATAAATTGATGCATAATAACATATCCAAGATAATAACAAAATTGTTACATTTCATTGACTCTCAAAATATGCCAAGCACTGTTCTGGTGTGTTTTTACATGATTTAGTATTTATTTGAACCAATATAGTGATTATTAATGTTATCATCACTTCACAAAAGAGAAAACTAAGGATGAAAATTTAAATATTATGCCTGTTGTCAACAGGGCTTCACAGAGGGCTCAGTTGTAGAGAATCCACCTGCTAAGGCAGGAGACATGGGTTTGATACCTGGGTCAGGAAGATCCCTTGGAGAAGGACATGGCAACCCACTCCAGTATTCTAGCCTGGGAAATCCCATGGACAGAAGAGCCTGGCGGGCTACAGTCCATGTTGTCTTGAAAGGGTCAGACATGACTCAGAGATGAAATAACAACAAAAACAAAAGAATTGTCACAAACTTAGTAAGACAGAGCCAGGCTTAAAAAACTGAAGTCAGTATAACTTCAAAGATTTGCTTCTTTTTCTGTATGTCATCTGTCAGTTCAGTTGCTCAGTTGTGTCCAACTCTTTGCCACCCCATGGACCACAGCACACCAGGCTTCCCTGTCCATCACCAACTCCCAGAGCTTGCTCAAACTCATGTCCATTAGGTGGGTGATGCCATCCAACCATCTCATCCTCTGTCATCCCCTTCTCCTCCTGCCTTCAGTCTTACCCAGCATCAGGGTCTTTTCTAATGAGTCAGTTGTTCACATCAAGTGGGCAAAGTATTGGAGCTTCATCTTCAGCATCAGTCCTTCCAATGAATATTCAGGATTAGTACCTTTAAGATTGACTGGTTTGATCTCCTTGCTGTCTTCTTCAACCCCACAGTTCAAAAGCATCAATTATTCGGTGTTCAGCTTTCTTTATAATCCAACTCTCACATCCATACATGACTCCTGGAAAAACCATAGCTTTGACTAGACCTTTGTCGGCAAAGTAATGCCTCTGCTTTTTAATGTGCTTCCTAGGTTGGTCATAGCTTTTCTTCTGAGGAGCAAGTGTCTTTTAATTTCATGGTGGCTGCAGTCACCATCTGCAGTGATTTTGGAGCCCAGGAAAATAAAGTCAGCCACTGTTTCCACAGTTTCCCCATCTATTTGCCATGAAGTAATAGGACCGGATGCCATAATCTTAGTTTTCTGAATGAAGCCAACTTTTTCACTCCCCTCTTTCACTTTCATCAAGAGGCTCTTTAGTTCTTCTTTGCTTTTGGCCCTAAGGGTGGTGTTATCTGCATCTGAGGTTATTGATATTTCTCCTAGGAATCTTGATTCCAGCTTGTACTTCATCCAGTCTGGCATTTCACATGATATACTCTGTATATAAGTTAAATAAGCAGGGTGATAATATACAGCCTTGATGTACTCCTTCACATGATATACTCTGCATATAAGTTAAATAAGCAGGGTGATAATATGCAGCCTTGATGTACTCCTTTCCCAATTTGGAACCAGTCTGTTGTTCCATGTCTGGTTCTTACTGTTGTTTCTTGACCTGCATAAAGATTTCTCCGGATGCAGGTGAGGTGGTCTAGTATTCTCATCTCTTTAAGAATTTTCCACAGTTTGTTGTGATCCACACAGTCAAAGGCTTTGGCATAGTAAGTATAGCAGAAGTAGAAGTTTTTCTGGAACTCTCTTGCTTTCTCTGTGATCCAGTGGATGTTGGCAATTTGATCTTTGTTTGCTCTACCTTTTCCAGATCCAGAATGAACATCTGGAAGCTCTCAGTTCATGTACTCTTGAAGCCTCACTTGAAGAATTTTGAGCATTAATTTTGAACATTAATTTGCTAGTGTGTGAGATGAGTGCAGTTGTGAGGTAGTTTGAGCATTCTTTGGTATTGCCTTTCTTTGGGATTGGAATGTACCTCATAACACTTCATTATTCATTAGTTCATTAAATGACTGGTATGTATAAGGCACTATTGCTAAAACTTGACTGAATGTTTATGAAGTTTCAGAGCTATATGACATAGCCGATATATTCTTACGGAGCTTAATGTCATAGGGAAATATCTTTTAAAAAAAACTTATATAAAAGGCAATCTTGTTCTTTCCCATTCAAGTCACATTTAATAGAGTGCTATGGAGATTCGTATAGTGGTAGTCATTCCTATTTTATGTAAGGAGGAGTGAGGTAGGTTTTCCAAGGGTCAAAAAAGAGTGGAATGACCATTTCAAGCTGAGACATATGGAGGAGGATGCACTCTGTCAAGAGGGCCTAAAGTCATCAAAATGACAAGAGTTGTGCTGGGCATAAAATGATAACACTGGTAAAGTACTTTGTCAGCCAAGGTTCCATCTAAAACACAGAACTGGTAGAATGGAGCACCGCCACTGCCTCTTCCACCCACCCTCTCCCCCTCGCCCACACACATAAACACATTTATTTCAAGATATGGGTTACACGACTGGGGATAGGGTTCTGGCCAGCCAGGTATCTGCAGTCCATAATGAAGACCATCAGAAAGCACTGGCTGAAAACTGCTGGGCAGGAACTGACGCCTACCAAAGGTAGAATTTCTCATTCCCCGGGAACATAGCAGGGCAGTTAGGCTCTGTTAAGACCTTTAAATTGATTGTATCAAGCCCAACCAGTTTATCCAGAATAAGTTCCTTTACATAAAGTCAATGATTATAGATGTTATTCATATCTACAAAATAAAGAAAGTGAAAGTTGCTCAGTCGTGTCCGACTCTTTGTGACCCCATGGACTTGGAGTCTCTGGAGTTCTCCAGGCCAGAATACTGGAGTGGTAGCCATTCCCTTCCCCGGGGCATCTTCCCAACCCAGGGGTTGAACCCAGGTCTCCCACATTGCAGGAAGATTCTTGACAA